ATTACTCCTTTGATGTTCCACCAAATGCAAAGCATCACTTTCTGCAGATGAAGTCCAAGTTTTGGGGTTGGAAATGGCTTTTGTTTAGGACTGAGCCATTGTTTTTGGCATTTAATATTCGCATAAAGAATCCATTTTTCATCACCAGTGACAATTCTGTCCAAAAATGGTTCAAGCGCATTACGTGCCAGAAGAGAGGAAGCAATGTTCACACATTGGAAACGATGATCATCAGAGAGTTCGTGAAGCACCCAAACACCTTCTTTATGAAGTTTTCCCATATTCTTTTGATGTTTACATAATGTTTCATGAGAGACAAGCAATTTCACGTCTATTTCACGAGTGTGTTGCCTTGGGTTAGACTCAACAAGTGTCTTCAGAGCATCAATATCAATTCCAACATGTCAGCCCCTGCCATCAGAGTTTTTATGGCTAAAGTCACCTGAATGAAATATGCTGAATCATCGTTGACACTTACGAATATTCAAAACATTTCCATAAACTTCTTTCATATTATTTGTGGCTACAGAGGCGTTGTTTCACTTGTATTCAAACAGTATTACATGCCGAATGTGTGTCATCACTATATGGGATTAGAGTATACTAAACTTTACACATTATATAAGCTACACTAACATGACATTTAGGCAGTTCGTTTAACTATTATACGTGATGTATATTTTGGGGGGGGGGGGTAATGAAGGTGTTCCAAAACGCGACATTAATTTCTTCATGACCTAATATTAATTTCTGAAAAAAATCGATGATGGAGTTTGCCCCCCTCTCTAGATTTGTACCTTTTTGTACAAAATTAAGGAAGTTATTAATTTCTGAAAGATATTTGGCATAGAGGGTTTGAGCCCCCTGGACTCCTCTCCTTGATCTGCATTTGCTTACAACATTAAGGGATACATATATGCAAATTAGAAACATAACACAATGTAAAATAAAACAGTAAATTTGCTTTTCATTTAACACTCAAGTAGCCAGAGAGTTGTTGGTGGGTGCTGTCTAGTTGTCTTCTCTCTAGTCAGCAGTTCAAAATTAGTGAACTTTTCAAACAGCCATAGCAGTTTTACAATAACAATGACAGGGTGAGCAAGTTTAGTGGCAATAGGAATTATACGAGAGACCCTCAAGTCATTAGGCATCCTCTTCCCACTACCCATTAGGTAGCTTTGCACTGAACAGCAAACAAACATGATGGCAATATTTTGATCACTTAAATTGTTGAAATAATTGAAAGCCCAAATTTCTGTTAGTTATTTTCATGATAGTTGACATAATTATCATTTCAATTAATTGATTATTAGAATAATCAAAAACAGTAATAATTGGAAACACTATATTCGATTAGATGATTATTTCTTGACATTAATCAATTATTTTACAAGACAGTAATCAATGTAATCACTGCTTGTAGGTAATCAGTTAAATCACCCAGCTCTAACTGTAACTATATGTGTTATAATATAATATAAAAGTGTATATTAGCTGACCATGACAACAATTCATGTTGGATGTCACTGAATTAAAAATGGTTTGGAGGTGAAGAAAATAATGAAAAAACAGTATTTTTGTTTTCCCAAAAATTTGTTTCAAACAGGACTTTGGAAAAAAGGGTAAAGCTTTTCACTGTAAGGTAAACAAAATCTATAACAAAAAATCTGATAACTTTATAACTATAATTTTTAAGAAATAAACCAGTATTGGTTCTTATAATATTTTGATTTTATGAGCTGAGCAGTCTGGACAATTAGTTGTTTGCCAAAGAAATTAGATTAAAAAAATCTATATTTTTCTGGCTATTAACCTTTAAAAACCTGTTTTCATGTTGTAGCTTATTTATTTGGCTATTTATTTCTAAAAATAGACTGTAAGCTTGGACATGCCAAAGACCTTCCAAAATTTGGTATTTCAGAGCTGTTAGTTATCCTAAAAATATCATTTGTAGTTACTGAAAATTAATGACACAAATAGAAAAGTAAACATAATAATATGAAATTACATGTTACTGATCATAAGACTACTTTGCAAACATAAAGCTGAATACATGAGAGAAATGTTTTTTATAATACATGATTTCATTGTTTGAAATTCCAAAAATTTTGTGAAATTTTGTAGATTACGTATGATGTAATATTATTAGTGTGTTTGTGTGTGTATATTATATATTTACTGCATTTAAAAACATATATAAATGCTGTTGAAATTTCTGTAAATATCCTTGTGTCACATTAATTCACAAACAAGATGTTGTAAGTTTTAGTAAACAAAATATAATTACTTAAGTTTGTGGCAGTCAGATATCAGTTGTTGTATTGTAGCCTAAGTCTGTTAGTTAGTTACTAATGTATATTTTTTAACAACTAGATACTGTTACTAACTAGTTTTCTCCTACATCTTGGTTGTTGGCATCTTTAAGAAACATAGAAAGAACTTGGAACAGAAACAGTTAAATAACTTAACAAGTATATTACAGAGCACCACCCCAATCATGTATGGTCTACTTAAAATTTGCAAAAATGGCTACCCTTCACTCTATAATTTCATTTTTGATAAAAAAAACAATGAGCAAAGATTCACCAAATCTTCTCCTTAACTGGATATCTTGTAATATCTCCTTTAACAGGTTATTGAAATATCCTCACATGTTAAGAGCTCAGTCCACTTTGTAAAGATTATAAATGCATCCATGATAACCTCATGACAAAGTGATCAGCTTTGATGTATCCAACTTCTTTATTCACCACTGACGTGCTATAAATATTCTCCCAACCACTTGAAAATGGTAGAACTCTCATGGAATGCACCCAAATGACAAGCTCCATTATAGTAGAATTCACAACCTTGTGTATCAACAAAACCTACTTCCAACATCAAGATAAGTGCTACCAACAACAAATCCTGGTAATATTTACATGGAACAGTTTGAAGTTAATGCCTTCAAATCAACCATATTAAGTTGTACAATTTGATTCAGATAGGTTGATGATTCAAGAATTCATGAACTAGCTGAATGGACATCTTGATTAGTAGCCAAAATATAGGAAAAACTACTTAGAAATAAGTAACTATTGGTTGAAAAAAGTTCCCCAGTGACTCTGTGATAAGTCTGAATGCTTCCAATGTTAAAAGTTTTGACATCCATTGTGGGCACAGTACAGATATCCCTTTGTGTAGCTTTGTGCTTAATAATAAACACATTAAAAGAGAAAACACTGGTTTTATCCATATGTGTGTTTGTGTGTATTAATTGATAATTAGACTTAGGTGATCATGTAGATTACTAACCATGACAGTGACTAAAATAGAACTTTTTATCAGTGGGTAAGAAAGAACAGTGTTTCATCATATGCTAATAAAAATGATCACAATTTATAAATACCATATACTTCTGTTTTCTACAGATGACAGGCAAGTTAGACCCCTGTAAGTTTGTAGCAGTCACTAGCACAAATGCTGCCAAAATTTTTAATATTTATCCTCAAAAGGTTAGTAAGTTAATTGTATGGTTATATTATATATAGTTTTATGTTACAATGAACTTTCATTATATCTAATTTTTGTTTTTGCCAAAAAATGTTTTTATGGTTTATGGTATTTCAGGTGAGCTCTGGAAGAAAAGTGAAATATTTAGAACTTTTTCTTCCATTGTTAATATTAAAGGATACTTATATATTTTAATTTTTAACAAGTTTATGAATGTGATACAAGCCAGTGGCTTGTTACTTTCTGTTATTTTTCCTTGTATAGTTGCCTCTTCCCTGTTACTCAGTAGTAAGTTTGTAGGCTTATAATGCTAGAATTTGGAGTTTGATAGTTGCAGTGGGCACAGTATAAGTATCCTTTGGTGCAGATTTATATTTGAACTAAACAAAGAAATCCTAGATGGTTTGGTTTTTGTATCTTTTTTTGTTCTACAAAGGCATCTGACCATGGTTTTGTTTTCATACAATCACTTGTATTAAGTACTAAGACAAGAATTAAATTTTGAATATAATCAAATTGCTGTTTTGATTGGGAAACAGTTTTAAATAATGTATAAGATATAAAAATCAGTTTGTCCTACATACAAAAAAAAACATTTGTATTCATATGTTAATTTAGTGTTTTGTAGATAAAAATTGATATTCTTTGATCATAAGTTTCTTTTACTGATTAACTCCATTGTCATGGGCATCCTTTACTGCGCATGATACAGGGTTTTGTCTTACATTGAAAATTTTATTGAACTACTTTTGCTTTATGTTATACCAATTAGTATGGCATAAAATCTTAGCTAATAGTCCATATTTTGATAGAACATAAGTTTTAAGTTCTTAATTCTAAAAAGCAATATTAAAGAAAATCCTGAATTTCCCCTAGTGTGACACACATGATACATTTTCTCTAGGCATCTTCTTTTCTCTATTTTATTCACCACCCCTCCAAAAAAGTAAGAACTTAAACATGAATTACTCAATATAAAGTTGTCTTTGCTCAGAGAAACCATAATTTTTATCGCCTTCAATTTTGTTGGATTACAGAGCTATGAAATAGAAAATCAGACTCTTCCTGCCACACCCACATGTTGCATCCCTTCTTTCAGGATTTGTTGATAATTCTCTTTTACATTTAATTATATATTACCTATAACTAATGGAAAGCCAGCGTTTTCATCTATCAAATGACATATTGCATAACATTGTGTTCTCAACAGATAATTTTGAGTTAAGGAAATTTGTCGACTTTTTGCATGCTATTAGTCTATGTTTTTTGGTGCATTATTTAATTAAATAAAAATCATTTAATATACCACTACCATTAGTATAAAAAAAAAGTAGGGTTAAGTGTCACCGAAAGTTGACAGCAAAAAAAAGAATACTCAGGTAAGTGCTTTATTTCTTGTTTATTCTTTATTTATCATGATAAAAGTAACTAAAATGTAAAAATAGGGATCTTTTTAGGTTAGTTGAGATTAGATTAGGTAAAATAAGTGATAATAATATAATAAAAATGTTTCATGAGGCACACACACAAGCAGCTCGTGGGTAATGTAATTCGATAGCTTAATGTGAGCTGCATATCACCCGAGTGATCTACAACTTATAATGGTGCAAATTATAGTTATGAATGCTTCAAAGGGCAATGAAACAATAAAATTTGATTATAAATAGATGTATAATGTTATGAATTTAAAGCTACTTAGGATAAATGAATGTAGTTTCAGGTTACAATATGAAGTCATTCTAGAAAAAAAAAAGGGTAATTTTTTTTGGTGGTTATGAGGTCTGTGAAACTGACCTATCTTGTATATAGTTAAGGTAGAGAAAATAACAGATAAAATATAAAGTTTTACTGAAAACAAACTTTTGAAATGTATTTAGGAGGTTTTAGAGATTACACAAATAAAATTTGAGATTTTTGAGGCGAAGAAAAGTATTTTTAATCTTAACATGAAAATCATTTTGCACATGACTATTCAAAACAAATACTCAATATGTTCATGGACAAATCTTGATTAGTGTATTAAAAATAATTCACTAAAAAATATTATTTTTTATATATGAAAGACTAATAATGTTTACTTAAAGACTGCCAAATTTTGTGAAGATATACAAACTATATTGAAAGTTAGAAGTATTAAATCTATAAAGACTTTAAACCAGTACAAAGAGGTCACATGGTTGGTCAAATTGACCAAGCACATGTTGAGAGAGTTAACTTTTGTTTTTTAATGATAATTTTATACCAAGTAGTAAAGACATGCTTATGCTATTCTAGGGTAATTACAGCAAGGAAATTTAAGTCAGTTGATTAGTGCTATTTGGACTTTATGAGTTTAATATTACACTATGTTATCAAAAGTGGAACAGCACCCTTTAGCTTATACTAGGTTTATTCCCACTGAATGCAGATGCAAATCTTATGGTATGCTGATTATGTAGGATTTCTAATAGTTAGTAGTTATAACAGTTTTACTGTTTAGAAGCAAGATGCTACAAGAGATCACTAACTTGTATTGTTATTGAATGCATCATTGATGGCATGAATGTTGGAGTTATGTCAGTCCATTGCTGAAGTGATGGAATATGTGAAGTGTTGGCTCAGCCATCTAAAACTAATGACTCTTCACTTCATGGAAACTTTAATTTAAAATATCTTGTGAAACAAGACAACATATCTAGTATTTAAAATTTATTAGTCATGACTTTCATGAGAGCTTGACACTGCAGACCACATATATGAAGTATTCAAAGAGATCCATACTGCTGGACTTTATAAATAGACTGCACTGAATGAAGCTGCTTATCACATGTGAGAATGTAAGTTGTAGACTCTCGTGGACCCATAAACATTTAAGTTGGGGTCAAAACTTTATATAGATCTATGAATCCATGTACTCATCTGCCTCATATGGACATATTTGGGTTTCATAAAAACAGAGATACATTGAACCAAACATGGTAATATCCCACGTTATGTACAACACAGATTTAAGACACATAGTGTAAAAAATTTGATTTGGCCAGACCATTTCTTCAAACTGAATTTGACTAAATAACTGATGAGTTTTGATAAACCATCTTTAGAACAGCAGGGACAAGCTCATATACCTGACTATTTTTGGAGATGCTTTGCAAGATTCCCTTTTATTGTTAAAGTGGAGACTTTACATCTTAACTTTTGCTGTGTCTTAATATTTTTGGTAATAGAGTGTACATTTTAAATTGTCTTGTTTACTTTCTGAAATTGTATTTTTTTTCATTTTATATAGACCTTTATAACTTTACATGTGCAGGCTTAGATTAATGTCTGTTGTACACATTGGATGTTTGAATTATGTTGTAGTTTTGATCTGAATTATATTTTTGTTTATTTTAGAAATATTTGTACTAATTTAAAAGTTATAGTAACATCAGTGTTCTAAATGGACACTTGTTGTGAAGTTCAGAATCAGTAAAAATGGTTCAACCCACCAGTATAACTTTTTAAGCACGAATTGGTCTGCAGTAATTCAAAACATAATAAGCTTTTTCATATCGCATATTCTTGTAAAATGTGTGTATTTCTATATGACTCATTTAAGTATACCTCTGTCCAGGTAGTATCAAAATAATACGTAGATGTGTTTCAAAGTTAACTGTATTTCTGTATCATCACATATGAAATGGGATTAAAATAGCAGTCTGTAATTTTAATGATTTGTAACGTGTGCCTATACAGACATTGCTAGTGGATAATGAGATGCCTCCTCCAGCTCAAATATTATGTTACTTTGATCTTAAGAGTTATTTTAGAGATGTAGCTTTTTATAGATAAAGCCAGTAAGGTAAGTGTAGTTCATTGTGTTACTTGTGAATTAACATGCTCTTTTCTAAATTTGAGTGGAAAGAATAGTAATATGTTACTGAACATGAGTTTGAAAGGGTTTTGTGAGCTTCAGTATTTTCATGGATGTTTGTATTTATTTGTTAATTTTCAATTCAAAAACACCAACTTTGTCAAACTTGTAAGTCAGAATGAACATGAATACCTGTAGATTAAGTAATTTGTTATTTTATCATCAAAATTCTACAATGTTTTAAAAAATGTTTTTTTTTTTTTCTTTTAGATTATTCAAATGTTACAGGGCATGAAAGAATAGTTATATAACATAATTTGGGCTACTGTTCAGACCATTCAATAAATAAGTTTTGTGTGAAAAATAGTATAAGTAACTAAACAAACTAAAAAACAAATAGAAACAAAAGACAGGAAATATTAGTTATAAACAAAGACACATTATACACGTATATAGTAAGCCACATTTGCAAGATAAATCAACTCTGTTAGGGTTAAACTGAGTGTTCTATAATCTCAAAGTTCAAAAAGTTTATTTGTAGTGAAACAACAAGAGCAATAGTGAGCCTATTGTATCTTTCAACTCTGTTTCTTGAAAAAAAAATCCTTTTAGGGAAGAATCCAAGTTGGATCTGATGCAGATATTGTCATATGGGATCCAAATCAAACTCGCATTATCTCGGCTAAGACCCACCATCATAATGTAGACTTTAACATTTTTGAAGGGATGGAATGTCATGGTGTACCTATGTATGTCATCTCACAAGGTCGAATTGTGGTTGAAGAAGGAGAGGTAATGTATTTATTTTCATTTTGTTTTAAAATTAAAGATCAACTGCAGAAAATATTGAGTCTTACTCTTAAAATTGATGGAAGCTGTTTTTAGTTTATAAGTAGAATATTATTTTTGTAGCCCCGAAATGTTCTTTGTTGCATCATATTTGTCTTTTTATACACCTTGAAAATATGTCAAAATACTAACTTTTTTTTCTAAACATATGTATATGAAGTTTATATAGCATTACATTGGCAGTTAGCATCCAAACAGAAATTCTTTGCACGTTACTTTTACTTGGGATTTTGTTTTGGAATAAATTTTGAGACATTTAAACAAAATGTTGTTTTCTAGAAACCTTTTTAGAAAACTCAAATGGTTTCAGTTGTGGATTATGTTTACTTCAGAGTACAAATTATTATTTTTTAAGTTAAATTTTCAGTTATCTCAGTTACTAGATGCTTCAAACTGTAACACTACTGGTGTCATCAATCATATCATACATATAAATATGTAAAATGAGATTAGTGTATTTTTTTTTTTTCATGTTTATGGACTTCAATTGAATATAACGTGGGTGAAATGTGCATTGTTAAATATAACAAAACTATTTCAAAAGTGTTGACTTATTGTATAAATAAAAAGTTAAGTAATGCTGAGAACTTATTTTATTATTCATATTTATTAACCAAAATATTACTTTACCACTGAAGTTTTTTAAAAAAACCTTTAAACTTATTGTTTTGTTCAAGCTAATTTGGTTTTTGTTGCTGCACTTAATTGTACTCAAAAGTATCACTTTCTTTTTAATAAATAGTTGATGTTTAGAGGAGTATATATTTTTCTGTTTTGGGGAGATTAAGTATATAAATAATTGTTTACATCATAACACAAGAAAATATTGTATAATTTTCAAACGAATACTTATGCTTATAAATTGTTTTTGTCAATTTCCTATTATACAGTCAACGTGCTTCCAAACACAAGTAGTAATATGAGTAAAAAACTAAAAGGTCTCTGTTTTATTTAGAAGAAAAATTCAGTTTTCTCTTGATAAACTACTAATAATCACACCCCAAAAATTAAACACAATGTTTACAATTGTAAATTTGAAAAGAGATTATGAATTTTACGTGATTTTTTCTCAGCTGATAAAAATTATCTTTAATGATTTTCATATTTTTCCACCAACATTGCAGTGTGTTTTTAAATTAGTTGGAATTTGTGTAATGAAATATTTTTATAAAAAATTTAGAAATTGGATGTTTTCACATGGCTGTTTTTATACCCATTAGCTGCATGTTAGTCAAGGAGTTGGTCGCTTCATTGCAACACCAGTGTATTCTCCCTATGTCTATGCTTGCATTAATGAAAGAGATCAGGTGAGGATATGAGTGTTTATGTAATAATATTTGGTTTTAGTACTACTACAGACAAAATAATGTGTGTCAGTAATGATAATAAATGTTATGTATATTCTGTTAGTATTGTATCATCATTTATGATCAAATTAAAGATGTGTGTTTATGTGATTCAAATTGGATTTTATCAGTGAGTATTCAAACTTTGATTTTTACCAAACTGGTAGTAAATATATGGTATAAAGTTGGAGTTAGAAGTTTGATGGTTCAGAATCATTAATCCTTTCAATTGGCAGTGTTTTACTGAGTAATTTCTGTTAAACATTAGATGGTAAAATTTTTAATTTTAAAAATATAAATCTGAAATGAGCCACACAGCAAATTTAGGAAACAGTAAAAACAATACTTTGGTTCACCCAGTTATAGGTTGGTAAGCCATGTTTTTTTGAGATGACGTGCTTTATGTGAAGTGACAGTGCAAATATTATGCTCTTGTTTAACAAATTTTCCAAAATGTATGAAATTTATTTCCACATGTTGAACTTTTTCTTTGTGCTTGAACAGAAAATGAAAAAAATATTATCTTGAATTTTATTTACTTTAGTTTAAAGTTTTATAGAACAGCAAGGTAGATTTTAATATTGCTAAAAATATCCAGTATCACTGTGCTGCAAGTGTAGTCTGTATTTACTGTATAGTGCAATAGAAACTGTGAAATATTGAAGTGTTAACAAAAGACACAATTACAGTACATTGCAAGCCAGCCATTATTACTTACCTTTTAGCAATTCACTTTTCATAGATAATTTTTGTATATTTCTAATATATATATTTGTATTAATGTCAAACTAGAGCTTAATACAAACATGAGTTTATATGTAGCATGCTTTGAGGTGACATTTAATTGTTCAGTGAGAAATTGATCAATTAAATGATCAAAAGTAATATATAATATAGAATATCATAAATACAATACTTCATCATTGCAAATGTGTGGAATTTTTTTTGCACAGAAAAAAGTGATTATAGACAGTGTTCTGTACTTCTTCCAATTATTACTGACAAGTGTTACGTATTAGAATTTCGAATAGTCCGAAGCC